AAATAGTGAAATAACGGTCAAAAAATTGATTTTAATTGACTTAAAAGCTTTACCAAACAAGGTTTGAAATTAAAATGAAAATCCTATCATTGCTTTAAAACAAAAATCCAAAAAAGAAAAACGAAAAAAAAGGAGGTTGATAATCATAGTGAGACAAATGTATTAATATTGTCTTTTAATTAAGGATGGCCAAAAAATTCGTCAAACTCAATACCCTCAAGCTAATCCCAAACGGCCAGGGTACGGGTAACATGGGAACCACCTCGTCCCGCTCCGCTCTGCTCAGTTTATTTTTATTTAAGAATTCAATACTTTAAATGAAAATTTTTAGGAAATATCATTAATTCCAATAGAAGATGGACAACTAAGATTATATAAGAATTATAATAAACAATAAAAATCCTAATTTATCAAATATATTCGAATAATTTTACTTTTAAAAATAAATAAATTAATTAAAAATTTTAATAACTATATAATTGTCTCTCTTTAATTAACTGAGACAATAAAATGAATTATCTAAAATAAAAATAAAAAATTAAACGGGGTACGTAAACAAGGCAAGGGCCAGGCCCCCGTCCCGCTTTAAACGGGGTAAATGGGAGAGAAATTGCCCGATAGGCCTCGTTACCATCCCTATTTTAAATCGAAAATCCAACTTTACAATTAGGGTATGTTAGATTGGAATACTTTTCATGGAAAATGACATTTTTCCACCTAAATTCCAACTTTTGAAATGTTTGATTACTTTTTTTTCATCAAAAAATATTTTTCAACCTTTTAAAAATATGCCTAATTTTCCTTTTTTTGAGAAAAATATTTTCTTTGGAAGAGGTAGATTTTTGTTTTCCTCAAAATAAGAAAAATATTTTTCATGCCAATCAAACATTATATTCTCAGTTTTCCTTTTATAATTATTTTGATTTGCATGATTATTGATTGCCCAAATGAAATTAACGATATTTCAAATAAAATTCTACCTTTACCCGAAAGTTATCATGTATGGCTCTCTTTACTCCACCACCTGCTAATGTATTCTCCAATCTCCTCCACTTCCTCTTGGTATCCTTCAACTTGGGCCGAGCCTGAGCCGGCTCGCGAGAGAGAGAGAGGCTCCACTTGACCACCTCTTAAGGCAGCAAAATGCTTCCTTTTAAGGCAGACAGTTTATTTATTTTAAAAAAATTAAGAAGAGTAGAAAAAGCGAGCCTGCTCGCTTGGCTTGAGCCTAATTTAAAAAGCTCGGCTCGGCTCTGGCCCGAAAAAAAGCTCACACATTTTACCCAAATCTCGAGTTTCAGTTCTCGAGTCGGCTTGACTCATTGACATCTCTACTTCGACCCTTCATTCCAATTCCTCTAAAACACCCTTTCTTATTGTCCCTTCCAAATGCAAAAGCATAAAAAAACTTTAAGAAATTCGTTCTTAAATCTTTGATTTTGGACTTCAAAACACCTTGTTTGCTAACTTCAAACTTGTCTAGTTTTGTGCCATTAGCCTAGTTAATCAACCTCTTATGCTATATCAATATTCAATTCTATTGAAGATGCTAATCACATTCCATGAAATTTCATGATTCGCAGATACTCGTTAAGCTCGTACAGCAAATGGTGTTTGATAAATGTGAATTCAGAGATGCGGTGTCTTTATAGTGTTGATCTCTAGGTATGTTGCTAAGGGCAATAATAGTTATGGTTCGTGAGCTATTCGATAGAATTCCCATTAGAAATGTTATATCATGGAATACTAAGATATCATGGTATGCTCAAATAGGCCAATTTCACGAAGACTTGAGTTTATTCCAAGAAATGAGGAAAGTGAAAGCTACTCCCAACATGAGCACGTTGTTGAGCATTCTTTCTATTTGTGCTCACTTTGACATTCTTGAAATAAGATTCTCGATTAGATCTTGGATTAAAGAGCATGGTTATTGTTGTGAAACGAAAATGATATTGAGTTAATCCAATATCAAATCGTTGGAGAGAAACTAAGAGATTATAGCCACAATATGAAATAATTGATTACAATAACACAAAAACAAAATAATTTGCAGATTGTGAATATTTTTATTATAATATGGAGAAAGAATATAAAGATTTTGTGTTTACTATGTTTTTAACATGTTTTAACTTCATCTAAATATTAATGAAGAGCCAATTATATATAGGGAACAAATAAGGGACATTAAAAACCTAATAATAGAGTTGTAGTTAAAACACGAAAAACAAGTCTGGGACAGATAACACAGCCGCTCGAGTGGGCTAGCGCTAGGCTAATAGTGCCATGTTGCTTGAGCAATAGGTTAGAGCCAGATGAGCAACAGCTTCGCTATTTTTGGCGCTCCAGTGCCCAACTAGCCCCAAGCTAGTAAAAATGCAGCGCGAACACCATTCGATCCATAATTTCAACATCTTCAACTCCATCACAATTTTCAACTTTCAATAGGACTACAAAATAGAACTTTAACTAGAATTTGCCAAATAAACTTGAACAAAATTCACAATAGCATTTCAAATAAAATTTTTTTTAATGTGCATTTTATTTAGGACTCCCAATTATTTTCAACAATGAATTCAGGTCACACTAAAATTCTAGCAATCTTCACATTGACACGAATTTCATTAAATGAACAAAAATTAAAAGAAATAAAATTCTCCACCTAAAGACAGATTCCATTGTAAGGAATAAAACTTGAACTCTTCAATGAAAAACACAAACCAACTTCTCCATTAAAAAAATTTTTTAATTGAAAATATTCTCCTACTCTATTAACCCAACTAGGGGCAAAAGTAATCTAACAACTACCAAAACAAGACTGAAATAGGCCCTGTAAAAGAATCACAATTGAATGCATCAAAAAAGGATCTTGGCTTGTGAAAATGCGGCAAGAACACCCTTCAGTCCTTAATTTCAATATCTTCAAGTACATCACAAATTTCAACTCCCAACAGAGTTTCCAATTGTAACTTAAACTAGAAGTCTAGAACATGCAAGATAAACTTGAATAGAATTCAACAATAACATTTTAAATAAAATTCTTCTTAATGTGTACTTTAATTTGAACTTGCAATTATCTTCAACAATGAATTTGGGTCACATCCAAATTCTAATGGTTATAATTCAGATCTTCACATTGTTAATACCCTGCTTTAGTATGTATGCAAAATGTGGCGATCTGGATTGGCACGGACTTTATTTGAGAGTTTACAAGAAAAAAAGATATTATCTTGTAGAATGTTATGATTTGTGGTCACACAAACAAGAGTAAATATAAGAAATCCTTGCAAGTTTTTCGTAAATGCAACTCGAAAATGTAGAGCCTAATGATGTTATGATAGGGCCACACAAAATAACCGTGAAACGGCGAGTCGAATCGAAATCATTGGTTAGAGGTCATGTGGACCTAATGTTTTTTTCCCTCAAATCGAACCAAACCGTTTCAAAATGAATAGGTTTAGGTTTCAATTTTCAAAAATCACACGAAATCAAAGTGAACCATTTTTTATTTTTTTAATTAAAACATTAATTTTATTAACTTATAAATTTTACATTTTACACTTTTCAAAAAGAATACCAATTTATCAGTACAAATTACAACCATTCCATTTGAATAATCATAAGAAGTAAATAGGTTCATTATTATTGCCCCATGATTTAACAAGTTTACAACACACATCCTTACCCGATATCTAAAATAAACTAAAATTATTCCAAAATCAATATGAAATTAGAAAAAGTATATTGTCGATAATCCAAATCATAATTCAACAAAATTACGGCAACAATTCACATCCATAACTTCAAAAGTCCTAAAATAAATTCTCATTTTTCAAACATTTGATGTTTGTTTGCCATCGTTAAACGAAATGCAATTGTTTATAGCAAATCGTCAGTTGCCTTTTGATTGTTAGTCTACGAATTTTTACTGGAATCGCTTCTTTTTCTTTTCTCTATCGATAAGTCTTAGGTTTTTATTCAAGCCATTTTTTCATTGTTCTTTCTTTTATTTGTTATTTTTGAGCTTATTATATACCTGTGAATTTTGATTTGGATAGAAAAATGACTGTTTCGTGTCCAGACGATTAATGAATTTGTTTGTGGTTTAGAAAAGAATGAAAGACAAAGCGTATTGATTGTATGAAAATGTTAAAGTTCCCTAACTAATAGTCTAATACTACTATATTCTACTTTTATAAAGTAGTTAAAGAATGAAATTCGTCAATTTCTAATAAACTTGAACTCTATTAATCTTTATACATCTAAACATATCATGTTCAATCATTATTTAACATCTCACTTGCAAGATGAAAAGAGTTTTAACCAAACTAAAATTGCAGAATGTGGCTCTACCTTTACCATCCGCTATGTCATAGTATGAAAGGTAAATGAAAAGGTAGAAAAATATATTCGTTCTATCAATATCTTTTAACAACCAATTTTGAAAATAATTTATTCACGAGTTTTCATAAATATGAATGTAATTTAATATTTAACATTATTAATTCTCGTTTAAATCTATATGTTAACTTGTTTTAAATGTATTACTATAATTTCAATAGGTAAATTGCGGGCTAAAATTGAACCAAATCGCAAATTATGGTTTGATTCGAAAAATAAAATGATTTGGTTCAATTTTGGAATTTTAAACTGCAAAAAATGGTTTAAGTTAAAAATATAATACAAAACACCCAAATCGAACTGTGTTCACCTCTACTGATAAGTGCATTTTATGTGCTTATTTGAGTTTCTATTATTATTTATTTATCGCTGATTAAGCAGATATCTACTAAATTTAGATTAAATCCTAGTGCGGGGATTTGATTGCAACAACAACCGAGGGATTAAAATCCTTAGAAGCAAAATATAAGTTTAGTTATCAAAATGAAATAAATTAAAGTTGAATGACCAACATGAACTAAACCTAAATATTGGAGGACCTTTAACGAATATTCTCTCCTGCCTTTAATTAAAATGTAAAATTCGCGTGAATTCCATTTTTCCCTCTGCCCTAGTATTCGAGGTCTCTGCTAGCCGTCTCAAGTCCAAAGCACAACCCCAGCGTTGGGTGGTGACTCACTGAGCTGACATGGGCAGCAGAACCGTGAATGGTGGCGCAACCTCCGCCCCCGCGGCCGTCTCCGTGGACAAGGGTGTTGATTTCGCTAACTATTTCTGCACCTACGGTTTCCTCTATCACCAGAAAGAGATGCTTTCTGACCGTGTTCGTATGGACGCTTATTACAATGCTGTTTTCGAGAACAAGCACCACTTCGAAGGAAAGGTACAAACTATTCTTCTATTTATCAATGAGTACTAAAGACCATTTATATATATGCCTCTATTACATGGAATTATCTTTTTATTTTCTTGGAATTTTGTTCCTGACGTTTTAGTGGATTATTAAAATGTTGATGATTTCTAAATTAACTTTTCCCTGCGGTTTCAATTAGTTAATGGCTTATGTTCTGCTAGGGCTGGCTGAGTGAATGCATTTCAACTCGATATATGTGGCTAATATTGAAACCTGCTTAGAAGAAACTTATCAAAACATGATCTTTGAATATAACTTTTTACAAAACTTGTTAGCAAACAGTGGTGGTTCTATGATATCCAGGTTATTTGCATGCATATAAATGGGAATGTACATTGCACACAAACATTACTAGAAACATTTAATTGTTGGGCATATTGACTAAGTGTTTGTGCTTTAGCTTTTAAAATAATTATTTTACATAGTAGGACTAAGTTGTTGAATACACGGATAGGCTGTTTTGGATGTAGGTACAGGAAGTGGTATTCTAGCTATATGGTCTGCGCAAGCCGGTGCAAGGAAAGTCTATGCAGTGGAGGCCACCAAGATGGCAGAACATGCCCGTGAACTTGTTAAAGCAAATAATCTTCAGGATATTGTTGAAGTTATTGAGGAGTCAATGGAAGATGTTATCTTGCCTGAACAAGGTTAACTTTTTCATCACTATCTCTATCATCATTCTCAGCATCCCGTTCTTTGTTATCAAATTTAATTTTTGGTATGTAATTTCCCGTGAAGTTGTTAAATAAATATAATGCATTATTTGCCGAATATTCTTTAACCTAAGGATATGTTCTGTGGGCAGTTGATGTAATTATTTCAGAGTGGATGGGATACTTTCTTCTGCGTGAATCAATGTTCGACTCTGTAATTTGTGCCCGTGAGCGCTGGCTGAAGCCAAGTGGGGTCCTGTGAGTAATTTATGCATATAGATAAAAATTCAATTCTGTTTTTTCCCGATTTTCACTTTTGTCCCCATACTTCTTGCCTTTTGAGCTCCTTATTTGTCTAGGAATTTGAGACCCTTATTTGTTGATGAGGGAAAAAAAGGTAGGGGAAATATAGTGTTCGCTTGATGTACATATAATCCGAATTTCCATCTTTTTGAGAGGTCAGATTTTTAGCTTAACCTATAGATTGTTTACTAATTGCCTTGGAATTGCAACATTTATATGTTAATCGTCCCCTTCTAACATTCTTTTGCTTAGTTTCTGTAGATTTTCTTTGAAGATAAAGATTTGATGCCATTCTAACTCACATTTGAGCTAACACTTCTAAAGAGATTGCTGTGAATGTTCTTAGGGCACATGGGAGATGGCCTGCTGGAGTTTAGGACTATGCAAATACATCAGCTTAGTTAGGTAGGAACTTCAGGATAATAGTGAACACACCAATTCACTGGGAAATGAACGATAAAAAAACATAAAGCTTGAACGATGTGTGGTGAATATGCAATTGAGAGGGTTTGGAGAGGCATAATGTTGGACCAAATTGAATAGTAAAAAACGTTTAAATTCCATGCTGTTCCAATCTTTATATTAATTGAAGACACGAGAAAACTATTTAGCCATTATGCAGTTCTACAGGATACTTTTAATTTTATTGAAGTGGCATAAATTGATTTACGTTGAAGCTCATGCCTCCCATCATGTAGGTAACAATGCCTAATATAACATTTTGAAAGTTGATTCTTATAATTGTACTGTAAGTATCTTGTCATTGTGATAGTTGCAATTGATTTATAATTTGTCAAGAACTACTATTCTCTGGAAAGAGGAAACCAAAATATGAGATTGTTGTAGTCTATCGTGCTCAAGCTGAGCATATGAGGAAACACAATGAAGTATGATCTGCTATTGACATTAGGAATTTAGAAGTACTAGAATCTGCAGATCAACATGGGCATTTCCTAGATTTTTTAGAAGGTGATCCAGTGTTCATCTGACAGAGAAAGGTTTTTGAAGTGTGCTTATCACAAGCTAAAATTAAGTAAGACCTTCCTCGTGAATTCTGAAGTCATCAGTTAAATGCTGATGTGGAGGAGTTATAGAACCATTTTAAATGTTTATAATCGACTTTCATGATATAGATGAGAAAAATGTATCAGCAATCAAAAAAAATTGGAGCAACGGCTGCTCTAGTATTATGATTAATGTACAATATACATTCAAACATCAACTTATCTAAGTTTCTATGGAGTGCACTGGTTACGAACTTGTTGATTTAAATTTAAAACCATCACAAATTTTATCCCTCATTCAGCTCAAATCCACTAACATAGTTTCACTAATTTGATCCCTAATCTGCGGTTTGGCCCTTGCCTTTTGATTTCATCTTAACTTTTGTCCTCACAAAGATAACCAGCCTTTGCCCATTTTTGCCGTAAAGTGTTAATCAGAGAGGCTTGGTGTTGCAGGTATCCAAGCCATGCTCGAATGTGGTTAGCACCTGTCAGGTCTGGATTGGTGGACCAGAAAATGAGTGATTATGAAGATGCCATGAATGATTGGCATGGTTTTGTCAATGAGACTGAATCTTATTATGGTGTTGACATGAGGGTTCTGACGAAGCCATTTGCTGAAGAACAGAGAAAATACTATTTGAAGGTTGGCATTTAGGTCTTTTATGCTTAATGTTCTATGTTTTTGGAGATATTGTGTACAGATTTTGGGATTTTATTAGCTCCGCTTGCTTGCATAAGATATACTATCATTCTCTTCCAAAGAATATATGCATGTTTGAAAGGGTGAATAGATTGGACCAATGCATTTAAACTTTTCGGATGTGTAATGGCTGCATTTTCCTTTTGTTTGAGTAGAAAATATTGTTTCATGATGTCCTTTCCACTTTCTTTTTTCAATTCTTCCACCCCTTTGGTGAATTATGTTGAAAGAAGACTTGGCAGTATTTGCCTGTGTAAGGTGTTACCTGTTTTCTTTTTTTAGGTTATATTTTGATATCTTTGTAAACATTTAACGAACAGGTCTCTTATTATTATTATTTTTTTTTACTCCTGACTGTTGTTGTAGATGATTCTTCTATGTGTGAATGGACTATATAATGGTACACACCATATATATATATCTGTATAACAGGTCTCTTATTTTTTATACTCCTGACTATATATATATATGATAGCACACATCATATATAATGGTACACACCTTCACAAACTCCTGCTCTATTGTTGTAATAGATTATGAGTGCATGGACCATATGACCTTTTTTTCATTTTTCATTTTTTTATTTTTTAAGGTTATATTTGGTAGCACACACCATCACCCTTTGTGGTTCTAAAATTGCATTATGTGAAAATTTATATTTTCTTTATCTTTTTATCTATATTTAAAATCTTTCACTGTATTTTTCTTTGGTTTTGAAAATTTCTCTCATGTTGTCTCCCTGTACATCTGAAAAATTATGCATTTTAGACATCACTGTGGAACAACCTTCATCCAAATCAAGTTATCGGGTCGCCTGTTATTATTAAGGAGATAGATTGCTCGACAGTTACCATAAATGATATACTTAATGTCCGTGCAAGTGTTTCATCTACGATCTCAGCAGAAAATACAAGGCTCTGTGGATTTGCTGGATGGTTTGATGTTCATTTTCGAGTAAGTATGCACATCACTGATTACAGACATCCATCTACTTTCTTAAATAAATAATACTTGATTAACCTCCTTTGTTTTATTTTCTAGGGTAGCCATGAGAATCCGGCTCAACAGGAAATCGAGTTGACAACTGCACCTAGTGAAGATTTTGGTACACATTGGGGCCAGCAGGTTAGTAAAATTAGTGATTCTGACTTTTTCCTCCTTGCAATTGGTTATTTAGAGCGATGAACATTGTCAATGGCCGATTCATTTTGTGAGAAAACGTTAGTAACTAGCCTCCTCGCCTATAGTAGTTTATATAGAGCACTTTTGGTGGGCTTTATTTTACTTCTTTTGAACCACATTTTACATAAGTAATCCCTGGTTTTGTTATTGCTTCATAATTCTCTCAGTGCTTGCTCTTTAACCATTGTTTCTAAGGTTTCATTGCACTTTCACTATTGCAGGTTTTCCTCTTACATCCTCCTGTACGTGCTCATCAAGGGGATAATTTGATGTTAAATTTTTCTATGACACGTGCAAAAGAGAATCATAGGTTGATGGAAGTTGACCTCACTTGCGAGATTAGACAGACGTCTGGAACATTGCTTCCACTGTCTACAAACAAGTTTTACATAGAATGAACCTACATCCAGACATTTCCACAGGTACAAACTTGTGCAAAAGAAACTGATAAAATTTTGTCGATGGCATGAAATACGTGAGATCTTATTACAATCTTTTGCTGTCAACATGTGCCTGCTAGTCTTCAATGCAAATCCTACTCATGATAGCATCTCGAAAGATGCCTGTGTAATAATATCATGTTAGTTTACCAAATTGACATGAAATGAAATATGCCTATGTACTAAACAATGTCTTTCAGAGTACTGTGACCCCAGGAACCAATGAAATATGCGCTTGCGTTAAAAATGTTGAAATCTGGTTATAAATTTCTTTTCTTTTCTTTTCTCATTATTTATATTTTGTGCCATAATTATCGGACCGACCTGGTCATCGATCTGGAAAAACCATCCTGTCATTGGGTCAACCGTTCAACGGGGGGTCAACTGTTCAACTGGGGAGGGTTGTCGTTAGTTCTTAATTTTAAATAAAAAAAGAATTTAAAACTAAAAAACAATGTAAATGTTATTTTATGTCATTTTGGTAAAACTAAATATATAAATTTGGCTTACATCGTTTGTGACAATTCTACATTTGCCATAGTATTAGTGGTCAAAGCTTTAATGTTTCAACGAGGCATTGCGGATTTGAGTATTCTACATTTGCCATAGTATTAGTGGTCAAAGCTTTAATGTTTCAACAAGGCATTGCGGGTTTGAGTATCTCTTCATGCAACTTAGATATTCAATTTTGTTGTGTACCAATTTTATAAAAACCGGTTTTCGGTTCAACTAAACCTGCCCAGTTTAGGACAAATATGAACTGGTTCGGGAGGTTCTTATCCAGTTCCATTGTAAATGAACCAAATAGCGCCAATTGGACCGGATCACTTTCCCACTCCTTGGCCGAACCGGCCGGTTCAGTCCGGGTCCGGTTTTAAAACTATGTTTTGTGCCAACTACCATCCAAGTTTGAACAATTTTTTGTAATATTGCAGTGCCTGGAAAAATATGTGACTTTCGAGTTCCCGTGTATGCTGCATTGTCCCATGATGGTTTAATGGTGGACGATAAACTTTGAGCTACTTGTACTGGTAATTTTTGCAATTTTCATCCTACTGTTCAAGAACAAAAACTGTTCTGAAAATGTATTTGGTAACAGCAGCTAATTTTGATAGTTATAAAAGTTCTGTTTTTACTTGTGCAAGTCTTCTCCTATCTTTTCATCCCTCGTTACAGCCACCTCTGCGGATCGTTTTCCTTTTTTTCTTAATTTGTCTACTCTTTGCTGCCATATTGGTTAACAAATTTTCTATTGGGCAAGAGTATTGGATTTTGAATCTGCTGTCAGCACTATCTACTCTATCGCATTGAAAATTCATATTGCTTATTGAGAATAGAGAGAAAGATGAATGCATTACTTTTATAATATTATAGTATATTTCACATTTTCTGTATCTTGATTTTTAATTTTTTGTAGTTG